TGGAGCAGCCGCCATTGTGTCAGGCAGTGGGAATGCAGGAAGCAATAAGGCAGGTAGGTGCTTATAAAGATCTGTTCACTCATGTTTGTAAATACCCAGATTGAAGCAACAGACTCTAACAGACAAACCTCCAACATTTGTGAATTTATGAAGCACTTTCACATTCATCCCTCAAGTATCTATTGAGCATGTAATATGTGCATGACAAGATGCCAGAGATACACAACCAAGCAACACACAAGCAAGTGGCCAATTACAGGGACAGAGGAATGCAGTGGCATGTAACATGCGCTAGAATGAAGCTCCACAAAGCAGGGATCTTTTCTTGGTCACTGACATATATCCCCTTCCTAGAACAGAGCCTAGGAATTTTGCAGGTACTTAGGAATATATGCTGATTGAATGAAAGCAAGCACAGAAGAGGGCACAGAACCCAGCCAGTGAACTGGCTATTAATTTATTTGAGCTCTAAGGCAAACCAGTATAGAAGGTGTGTTATTATCATTAACCCCCATTAGGAAACAGAAACAGAGGCTCAAAAAGTGAAAGGGACACACCAAGATGCCCCAGGTTCTAAGTGCTGGAGTCTGACCTGTATCAGCAAAGCCCATACTCTTTCCTTAAAATTATAGCCACTGTATCCATACTTGTAAGATAATAGCAAAGGAAACGAGACCACAAATGACTCTGCCTACATTTGTTCATCCCCAAAACCAAAATCCAGTTTTGGAACATGCAGTGAAATTCAGGAAGTTCTAACTGAAACAGAAACGTGAGTGTTTAGACACATTTCAGAGTTGACCTTCTAAGAGGTAAGATCCTCAGCTTCTCCACGTTAACCAAAGAACCTTTAAAGCAGACCCAACAGGCTAAGGGCATTAAATAATTTGAACATTTAATTTTTAATGGCATAGGAAAATGAGTAACATACAATTCCTAAAATCCATCGAACTGTGCACTTAAAATGGTTATGACGGTAAAAAAAAAAAAAAGCAAAAGAAATAGTATGGGAAGACAGGGTTGGGAAAAGCAACCTTCGATTGGAGTTAAAAACATTTTCATGGAGGAGATCACATTTGAGCTGGAATTTAGAGAACAAAATTAGTAGGGCTTTGATAGGCAAAAGTAAAGACACATCCGCCGAGAAGCCAGCATGAGCAGAGATGCCCAGTCAGACATGACAAGGGCACAGCCATGGACTGTTAATTACTTGCTTTTCGGGCACAGACAGGATGGGAGCTAGCAAATGAAGGAGGCAGAGACACAGGACCATGGATGCAGCCCTCCCAGTGAGTTCAATCTGGATTCTGAGAAACCAGGAGTCAGTTCATCCTGGGAGTGATGTATATTTGTTTTTCAACATCCTGGAGGTAAGGCAATGAGTTAGAAAGGTGTTAGAACATCCCTGCAAGCAGCACTAGTGCCTGAATGAGGGAAACTTACTGAGTGATCAGGAGTAAGAAGAAGGACAGACCCTGGAAACATTGCAGAAGCACAAGCTTTCTGTCTTGGTGACAAATTGAGTATCTGTATATCTGTGTGCTGAAGAAAGAGGAGTGTAGGACCACCTTTAAAAAACAAAGACTTGGCCGGATGCGGTGGCTCAGACCTGTAATCCCAGCACTTTAGAGGCCAAGGTGGGCGGATCACCTCCATAGGGAGTTGGAGACCAGCTTGACCAACAGGTAGAAACCCCATACCTACTAAAAATATAAAATTAGCCAGGTGTGGTGACAAGCCTGTAATCCCAGCTACTTGGGAGGCTGAGGCAGGAGAATCACTTGAACCTAGGAGGTGGAGGTTGCAGTGAGCCAAGATCACACCATTACACTCCAGCCTGGGCGACAAGAGTGAAACTCCATGTCAAAAACAAACAAACTTGAAATTCATCCTCATTCCAAAATAAAAAACTAATTTAAATGATCAAAAACTCATCCTGTAAAGAAAAAGTGGTACATATACACCATGGAATACTATACAACCATGAAAAAGAATAAATTATATCTTTTGCAGCAACATGGGTGCAGCCAGGGGCCATTATTCTAAGCAAATCAATGCAGGAACAGAAAATCAAATATGTTCTCACTTATAAGTGGGAAGTAAACATTGGGTAGTCATGGACATAGAGAAGGCAACACTAAACACTGAGGACCACTCGTACGACGGGTAGGGAAAGGGGCGTGGGTAGAAAAACTGTTGAATACTACTCTCGCTACCTGGATGAGGGGATCAGTTGTACCTCAAACCTCAGCATCACACAATATATCCATGTAACAAACCTGCACCTGTACCTCCTGAATCTAAAATAGAAGTTGGAATTATTTTTTTAAAAACCAACTCATCCAGCTGGGCACAGTGGCTCATGCCTGTAATCCCAACACTTCAGGAGGCGGAGGCAGGTGAATTACCTGAGCTCAGTAGTTCAAGATCAGCCTGGGCAGCATGGAGAAACCCCGTCTCTACTAAAAATACAAAAATAACTGGGCATGGTGGCGCATGCCTGTAATCCCAGCTACTTGGGAGGCTGAGGCAGAATTGCTTGAACCCAGAAGGCAGAGGTTGTGGTGAGCTGAGATTGCACCATTGCACTCCAGCTTGGGCAACAAGAGCAAAACTCCATCTCAAAAACAAACAAGCAAGCAAACAAAAAAGCCCTCATTCTGTTCATGGTCACCTGCCAGGAGGACTTTCTGTGTGAGAAAAGCTGGCAGGTGTGTGATCTTTAGCATGCTCCTTCCTTACCCCTGGTCCCCTTCTAAGGTGGGTGTCCCAGCCCAACAGCTTCATCTCACAAAACTCTACCCTGGGGCGGAGATTCCTACTGTGCAGTGTAGGGAGCCGTTCCAGACATGATTGGCAAGGAGGGACTCTGACTGCCCAAAACTACCATTCATTCCAGGCAATTCCAAAAATTTGTTTATTCAGCCTTTTGGTATTAAACATCCTGGCATTATTTATGCCCGTAGACTTGTCACAGTGTATTGCTTGTCAAAGTAAGACAGGAATTATGGGAAACACTATTTTCAGTCCTGTCCAGTAGAAAAATGATGAGAAAGCCAAGCACATTTTTCCCTTTCTTCAGCAACTGCCTCTGCAAACACCGTATTTTTATAAGATGAAAACCACCTCAAGCAACATGAGGAAAATACCTCCAGCAGAATCCGCCTCTTTTTTTCATTTTGCTTAAATCTTTCAGAGCATCCTTCTTCTCTGACTCTCCTGCTGAATTTGGGCATCTTAATAACTCCCTTAGAATGGCCTGCAGTGTTACTAATGACCTATTCTCAGCAATCAACACTTCTTTTCCTAACTCATTGAAAGATTTTGGAGAAAGAAATTAAAAACTCCAATTGGTTTTTCAATTTTTTTTTAGATTTTGAGTTTGAAACATTTTCATGCCCACATCATCACATTTCAAATGAAATGAAAATGCTGGGGTAAATAGCTTGCCATGTCCTGTGTGTGTGCGTGTGTGTGTGTGTGTGTGTGTGTGTAGTAACACCTGAGAAAATTAATAGCTATGAATGACAGAATTATATAAGGTTAAAGGTGAAGTGATCCTCCAAAAAGAAGTATATGCATTGAAAGCAAGAATTATCTCCTAAGTAAAAAGTAGAGCAGAGGATAGCAGGGGCTGGGAAGAGGGGAGGGGGAAAGATTTGTTAATGGATATAAAAATAACAGCTAGATAGGAAGAATAAGTTCCAGTGTTCTATAGCAGCAGTCCTCAACCTTTTGGCATTATGGACTGGTTTCGTGGAAGACAGTTTTTCCATGGACCAGGGTCAGGAGGATGCTTTCAGGATGATTGAAGGGGGACATTACATTTATTGTCCACTTTTTTTTTTTTTTTTTTTTTGAGATGGAATCTTGCTCTGTCTCCCAGGCTGAAATGCAGTGGTGTGATCTCGGCTCATTGCAACCCCTGCCTCCCAGGTTCAAGCAATTCTCCTGCCTCAGCCTCCCAAGTAGCTGAGACTACAGGTGTGCACCACCACATCGAGCTAATTTTTGTATTTTCAGTGGAGATGGGGTTTCACCATGTTGGCCAGGCTGGTCTTGAACTCCTGACCTCAAGTGATCCAGCCACCTCAGCCTCCCAAAGTGCTGGGATTACAGGCATGAGCCACCGCGCCCAGCTATGCACTTTATTTCTATTATTCTTACATTGTAATATATAATGAAGTAGTGATACAACTCCCCATAATGTTGAATTAGTGGGAGCCCTGAGCTTGTTTTTCTGCAACTAGATGGTCTCATCTGGGAGGGATGGGTGACAGTGACAGATCATCAGGCATTAGATTCTCATAAAGAGCGTACAAGCTAGATCCCTCACATGTGCAGTTTACAATAGGGTTCGTGCTCCTATGAGAATCTAATGCCGCCACTGCTCTGACAGGGGACGGAGCTCAGATGGTGATGCGAGCAAGGGGGAGTGTCTGTAAATACAGATGAAGCTTTGCTTGCCTGTCATGCATCTCCTGCTATGCAGCCCAGTACTGGTCCATGGCCTGGGGAATGGGGACCCCGTTCTATAGGACTGTAGTTAACTATATTATATGGTTTCATATAGTTAGAAGGAAGATATTGAATGTTTCAAATACAAAGAAATGATAAATGTTTGAGATGATAGATATGCTAATTACCATAATCTCATCACTATACATTATATGAATCACAACATCACTATGTACCCCATAAATATATACAGTTGTTATGTATCCATCAAATTTTTAATACATAAAAATTAAAAATCAAAATGTGTCAGATAATAAGAAACGGATTTTCTCTAAAACAGACTGGAGACCTGTCCCACCACACTTTGATCTTTATTCAACTCTGATAAGATTGAAAACATCTTTGTCTAATTTGATGAAAAAACAGAAATTAGCTTTACAAAAATATAGTTACAGGCCAAGGTGCATGGAAACAATAAAAATAAAGAAATCTCCAGATGCCAAAAATTAGGACACTTAAATTTGGCTTTTGTGTCTTCACAGAATTCTCCAAAACTCTTTTGCCCTAAAAACAGAAGTTTTGACATAGATGCCATCTACAGTGTGATAGATGACGCCAAGCAGTATGTGTACATTGCTGTCATGGACTACCTGCCTATCTCCAGCACAAGCACCAAAAGGTCAGTGAACACCCAATCTCCAGTTAGAACCCAGTCCCCAAGACCAGCCATTACACTGGGCACCACAGGAGAAGCCAGCCTGGAAATGGAGACGCCATCAGATTGCCTTAGGAAGAGCGCATCATTCAACTCTGTTGAGTGTGTATTGGCAATGTGCTCATTACGCATTTTTTCCCAAAGTGGGTCCATTTTAAAGGTTCAGGGTCTCACCCTAAAGAAGTACCTCAGTAGTTTACATTACGGGAATGAGAGGAACTTTTGAAAGAAAGTTAGGTTGCTCTCAACTTGAAAACTGTTTGAAAAGATAAACTATAATATGAAAAAATTATCATTTGAAAATTATTAACAAGGATATACCTGAAAAGGGCATATTGAAACTGAGTAGTCTTGCCAGATTTTCCTTAAAGGAAGCATTGTTGTTTTGTATTCACAGCAGTCCTCATTTCATGCCAAATTCTCATAGTATCTTCTCAATGTAATGGACAAAGAAACTTTATGTATGTTCTCAGTCAATCCATCCCTCTCTGTGAAAAAGAGAACAGTTTAAAAATGCAGTGCTTTTTCAATAATCATCATTGCTTAAGCATGCAAGCATGGAATAAACTCAGGGACAGAATTTATGACAAACTCTTTGGAAAATCATCACATGCATAAATGCACGGCCATGCATAGATATTCCCACTTTTGCTTTCTTGCTGGGAATGCAGAGGTGCTTGAATAATTAGTTTGATCCAGGAAATGTTTTCAAAGTGCACATTTTTGGGAGTGAGACCCAAGACCTTTTTAGTTTGAAATATTACAGTTTCAAAACAACCACTTACTGAGGCTAGATGATTAAGTGTGCCTTATATTGCCTGAATATTTTTTTACTCACCAACCCTACATAATACATAATATGTAGCTTCTTTATGCAAATAACCATAGGGTTACAAAAAGAGTCTTTCTCCCAGAAAATGATTGTTCCTTATAGCAGTTAGTAGAAAAGCACTTTTAGCTGCAAGATGCACAGCATTGAAACATCTTTACTTTAAAATATTGTGCATCTTCACAAAAATTAGCCAGGCATGGTGGCGCACACCTATAATCCCAGCTACTCAGGTGGCTGAGGCAGGAGAATCGCTTGAGCCCAGGAGACGGAGGTTGCAGTGAGCCCAGATGACACCATTGCGCTCCAGCCTGGGCAACAGAGTAAGATTCCAACTAAATACACATACATATATACATATGTGTGTGTGTGTATGTGTGTGTATTATATATATATGTATGTGTATTTAGATGGAATCTTACACACACATATATACATATATACACACACATATATCTACATACATATACACACATATATATGTATGTGTATGTATATATATGTGTGTGTATGTATATATATATATATATATACACATACACATAGTGCATTCTTTGAACATTCATGAACCTTTTTCCCACACACTTTCACATCTTTTCTATCCCTCCTTTTTATTTTTCTTCCCTTTGTTGTTCACTTGGTTTTAGATGTAGTTTTAGATTTTACCTTCACTTTGAAAACATTTCAAAACATAATAGGGGTTTTGCCTGACTTTCCTGTTATTGAGAAGGAGAATAAGGTCAAGTTCAGGGAGTTATATGTTAGGCTGGCATAATGATTTCTCAGGATTGACAAAACCTTTGTTCCATGAAGTGCTAAGAACAAGATTGAGATTCTTCATGGTCAAGGGGTAAAGAATTAGCATAGAGGATCTAAAATATTTTAGAAATCTAAAATCTAGAGAAAACTAAAAGAATATTAAAGAATCAGAGACACCTAAAATTTTGCATTTTGGTTATGAATCTACCATTTCAGCTATTAAATGAAACTTCTTTTATTGTATTTGAACATTTCAAACCTGTAAATGCTTTTAACTTTCTAAATTGAAAGGTCAGAGGTAGTCCAAAGATCAAGATTATAATTAAATTCTTCTCAATCAGATAAAGTAATTATTTGTATAAATTCAGACTAGTTACTCATCATTATCTAGTCCTGGAGAAGCTTTTCAGGAGTGAATTCAACATCAATTAATAGGTAAATACTCTCCAATTTCAGCATGTTAATGGAACTAGTTAATATCTTTCAGACTTTTAGTCTATACATTGCCGAACATCCAAATGAAGGAGAAAAAAACCATATACTCCCAAAATAGAAATGATTAACAGCATGTATAAAAACACACACTGTTATTTAGGGAGTGTGAGAAATAACTTCTACTTTTCAAGGTAGTAGGAAGGGAATGGAGTAATGATCTAAATAAATCCTACAGTAAAAATTCAGAAGCCCTATTTCACTTCTTCCTGATTTAGCAATCAAGCTCTCTTTCTTAAGCAAGTCAATTATTTAGGTCTCAGTTTGGAGTTGTTCATTATTTATTTCTTCAGTCACATGAAATATATCTTTCACAAGGAAATTAGTAAATGTGTGAAGGACAAATAAAACTGTAGCCTGATTAGTCTTTGAGGTATTAATACTTTTTATTTATGTATTCATTCAATAAATTTTTTTTTGAGATGGAGTTTTGCTCTTGTCACCCAGGCTGGAGTGCAATGGCATGATCTCGGCTCACTGCAACCTCTGCCTTCCAGGTTCAAGCAATTCTCCTGCCTCAGCCAACATGGTGAAACCCCATCTCTACTAAAAATACAAAAATTAGCCAGACATGGTGGTACATGCCTGTAGTCCCAGCTACTTGAGAGGCTAAGGCAGGAGAATCACTTGATCCTGGGAGGCAGAGATTGCAGTGAGCAGAGATCGTGCCACTGCACTCCAGCCTAGGTAACAGAGTAAAACTCTGTCTTAAAAAAAAAAAAAAGAAGTAACATGACCAGGTATACTTTAGATGGATCACTCTGGTGGTCATCCAGGAAGCACTTGACTGGAGGCAGAGAAACCAATTTGGAGCACTGAGATGCCTTTTCCTGTAGTCTTCAGCTTCATGGGTATAAAACCAGACAAAGAGAATTATAGCATTGATGCAGGATCCAGATTTTCACCAAGAGCAAGAGGAAGGTTAAGAGGAAAGTATCTTTCAAGTGATCGGAACTGAGATTAGTCTGGGCAGGCAAAGGAGACAGGAGGAGCTGATGGACCCGGCAGATTGAAGGCATCATGAATCTGCAGCCTGCGTGGGATGAAAGAGCAATTAAAAGTGTGGGCCCAGCACAGTGCCTCACACCTGTAATCCAGCACTTTGGGAGTCTGAGCAGGTGGATCACAGGGTCAGGAGTTCAAGACCAACATGGTGAAACCCTGTGTCTACTAAAAATAGAAAAATTAGCCGAGTATGGTGGCGTGGGCCTGTAATCCCACAGGAGGCTGAGGCAGGAGAATCTCTTGAACCTGGGAGGTAGAGGCTGTAGTGAGCCAAGATCATGCCACTGTTCTCCAGTCTGCGGAACAAGCGAGACTCCATCTCAAAAAAAAAAAAAAGAGTTTTGGTTTGATCACCTGAGTTCTAATACCCACTCTGGCACTTCTTGTCCATGTTGAGCAGGCTGCGGTGAGCCGAGATCGCGCCATTGCACTCCAGCCAAGATAACATGAGTGAAAAAAAAAAAAAAAAAAAAAAAAAGAAAAGAGAGTGGGAGTGGGGAATCAGAAGGACAGGAGCCTTTAGAGGTGCAGTGATCATGGCACTGGCTGACTACGGGGTCAAATAATACATCATTAGTTCAACGTAGTGAATTGGTGCAGAATTAGGGCAAGAGTTTGATGAGTAAACAAAAGTCTACAAATGTCAGCGCTGAGGGGAGGGAGAGTGATTTAAGCCTTGGTCCCTAAGACAGGAAAGCTTTTTGTTTTAGCATGAGAATTGAATGACCATTCTGGAAGTGACCGTGTGTGTTTAGGGCCTGCAGGGGCAGAGTAAGAGGCTGCCCTACATCTTAAGCCAAGTGGCCAGGTCCTGCTAGAAAATGCACAGCAGGACTTCAGGAGAAGCTGCGGCAGAGTCGAGTTTGAGTTAAGGCAAAGGCTTAAGAATCCAGGGAAAAGGCTGGGCCTGTCAGAGAAACTTTGCCTGTTGGAAGATTCCAAAGGCCCCGCAGAAAAGGTGGAAGGCAGGGGAGTCATGGGAGGCTTGGTCAGGAGATACCAAGGTAAGGACAGTTGGGAAATGAAAGTGTGGGGAAGCTCAGATGGCTAGAGCAGAAGTTCATTTCAGGGGCCGTCACCAAAGAGAGGTTTTAGTGGCATCTGGGGATTGAGGGGTGCTCAGGGTTCTTAACTGGGATTCTATTGGATCAGTTCTTAGTGGAATGAGGCCCAGGTAGAATCAGAGATGTGGTGAGGGTGGCCTGCGGTTGCAGTCAGTCCGTCCTCACCTCGGCCCACACAGCCCAAGGACCTGCTGGTGGGAGACTTCCTTTTAGGCAGGGGCAGGTCCCAGGAAAGCATCATCCCTTGGTACCTAAGCAAAGAGGCTTGCATGTTTTTCAACCTCAAATAAAGTAACGCTCAGACTAATATCAATGTTCTGTGCTGTCTGGTAAATTTCTTTCCCCAAACTAACTTAGTTTCTTTATTTTTACTCTATGGATATGGTTTCTGCAGGACTTACTGGCCAGACTTGGATGGAAAAATAAGAGAAGCATTAGTTTTACGAAGCGTTAGAGTTCGACTCCTTATAAGCTTCTGGAAGGAAACGGATCCCCTTACGTTTAACTTTATTTCATCTCTTAAAGCGATTTGCACTGAAATAGCCAACTGCAGTTTGAAAGTTGTAAGTATTATGTTTACTGTGTTATTAAAGAAAAAGTGAATGCCTTCTGTATATGTGGGACAGCTGCAAGCATACACATACATGTAAACGTCCAGTAAGAACCAGGATGACAATCTTCAAAAAGCAGGTTAAGTAATTTTTCAAAACAATCACATACAGAAAAGCAGAGTAGAGCTTACATTTCCTGATGCCTTCTCTGTCTACCCTCTGCTCACTTTCGGTTGCATCCTTTCCATTTTCTTTTTTTTCTTGAGACAGCGTTTTGCTGTCACCCAGGCTGGAGTGGAGTAGCACAATCCTGGCCGACTGTAGCCTTGACTTCCAGGCTCAAGCAATCCTCCTGCCTCAGCCCCCTCATCAGAGTAGCTGGGACCACAGGTGCATGCCACCATGCCCAGCTAATTTTGCATTTTTTGTAGTGATGGGGTTTCACCATGTTGCCCAGGCTGGTCTTGAACTCCTGGCATCAAGCGATCTGCCCACCTTGGCCTTCCAAAGTGCTGGGATTGCCAACATGAGCCCCTGTACCCGGCCCTCTCCATTTTCCTTGAATTACCCCATTCACCTACTGTTCTTATCTGTAAGACTGTGACCAACAGAGCATTGGAGCATGCACCAGCACAAACTCCCCTAGCCCAGAGGCCTTATAGTCTGGGTTCCTGTGCTTGCCCCAGGTCCCTTGGGCCACACACTAATCTACCTCTGGAGACACTGAGGGAGGTAAGATTAGGAATTGGGAGTACCTGAAATGGGCTCATTCTCTAGCTCATCTTTGACTACCCTCTTCATCCCCTCAAGGCTTTGTGCAAGCGATTCCTTCTGCCTCCGACACTCCTTCTCCATGTTGACCGGTCTCATAGCCACGAATCCTTTAGGTCTCCACTTTTCCCAACCCCCTGTGCAGTCATTCAACAAACGTGCTCTGAGAAGCTAGCTTGTGGTAGGCTCTCTTCTAGGTAATGAAGCCGCATTCCCTGCAGCAGTTAGGGATCCAGGGTATCAAGGGGTCTGCAATTAACTTTGACACATGGCTTCCAAGATCACCCTGACCCTGAATATCCCAAGGCCAGACAGAAGAGAGAAATTGGAGGACTCTGTGAGAGGCATGTTTGGATTAGGCCTGGAGGTAGTGAACATCCCTTTAGCCTTCATCCCACTGCCTGGATATCTCTCACATGGCCACGCATAATGGCAAGAGAGGCTTATAAACGTGTTCAGAAAGTCAGCTGTGTTTCCAGGGTGACAAAGGAACAGGTTTGTGATTCATCACGGTCTGAAGCTCCTGGTACACACAATCCATTTTACTCATCTTCCCTTAAAAAGAACCCTCATTCCTACCTCCCATAAGGGAGAACATGCAAAGTTTCATGCAGTCGCTGCATAGGGTCTTCCAGTGGTGTGCATTTCTGGACATCAAACCTGAAAGTGGTACATTATATATAGTTCGTCAATGTAAAAACTGAAACAAAACAACTCCCCCACATGCACCAAAAAATACTCAGAAACTGTGGCCACCTGGGACGTCGATTACCACCTGCAGAGGCCTGTCCTGCAGACCTTAAGGACGGATGAATGGATGCACTCTCACACCTAGTACGGTGGTTTTGAGTGGGCTAGGGATGGTTGTCTGCTTTCAGAGGGCGATTGCAGCTCACTGACTACAACTCCTTGTACTTCCTCACATTCATTCAGTGTAGATTTAATAACAGAGGTTCTAAGTCAACAAGCTTGTGGATAATTAACATGGTTAGAAAAGAGTGGTTTTACGAATAATAAAAGCTTTTGGTTCTGGGGCCCAGAGTAAACACCATTGATGGGTAATTCCTCTTGGACCTCTTTTTGAGAGGACCCATCCAGCATGAAGTTAACATGAGTCAACAGAGTAGAGACAAAAGGACGTGTGGTAAGCAGACTTAACTGGGGAAGCTTTTGTCATCCCTGTCTTTTTTTTTTTTTTTTTTTTTTTTTTTGGGGACGGAGTTTCGCTCTTGTTACCCAGGCTGGAGTGCAATGGCGCGATCTCAGCTCACCGCAACCTCCGCCTCCTGGGTTCAGGCAATTCTCC